CTGAAGATTAAATCACTTGCATAAACCAGATCCCTACTTGGAGGGGAGAAGTGCTATTACAGGAACCTGTAACTTACCAGGCTGTTACCCAGGAATGTGCACAGGATGGGTTAGGCTTGCTTTAAATACCCTCAGAGAGGGTAGAGTCATGCTTTTTCCAATTGCTCTAATTGCAGAGCCACAGTCACACCTCCTGCTGTACTTAAGGGAGCGCCTGGTTCTAAACGTTGTGAGGCAATCAGGAGGACAAGGAGTTTATCTGCCTTTATGCTGCCTAAACATACAACATGGGAAACATGATCAGCAAGAACTGAGGATCTCAGCAGAAAAGCTTTTGCAGCTGCTCCACCAAGTCTCAGGCAGGGGTGAACAAATTCCACTGTTCCTCACTTCAAAGGGCAAGCTAGAGGACCTGTATCCTAGTGGCCTTTGTATGCAAGGCTTTCAAGCAGTGAAAAGGGAGGAATTTCAGGAGGGCAGTGCTGATCAGCTCCATCCTGAACTGCACCTATTTATCTTGCAAATGCACCTGACAAATGAAAGGGAGCAGCAGAACAAATTTCTCACCCACCTGCATGAGGACACAGAGCCAACTACTACAGCCCCCTCCCTTCCTCCCTTCACATCACCCAATGCAAAACAAGCCCACATCATCTAACTCGCGCCTCTGGAGCGTAAAGTATTTGGAAATAAAGAGAAGCCAGCCTCAACAGTGTGTGCTTTTAATCCCCAAATGCATAGGCAACATAACATTAAAACAGAAAAATTAATAATGTCTTCTCTTTAGCTACTAATCAATCTTGAAGCTTACAGTCACATTTGCTATGCTAGATATGGTTTCTCAAGATCAAAGTTTTAATTCAGTACTTGGCACTTCTGACCCTAAGATGTATAAAGGGGCAACGACTAAAATTACTGTGTGATTTGTCTTCAGCAAGGAGGTTAGGAAGGTTGGACAGTTACAAATGGAACAAAACTGGTCATAAATTTAATTTACTCTGCCTTTCTTTGCAGTCCCACCTGCCTGGAAAGACCTTAACATCACTGCATTCTGACCCAGCATTCATCAGGAATAGGTAAGACATTCCAGCCATGAAAAAGCACCTTGTGCTTACTACTAGGGGGTCTAGTAACACCAGGGTTTTATCTGGCAATACAGTATCAATTTTACACGTGGCTCCTCTCATACAATTTATTTTGCTACTTTTTGCTGCAAATACCGCAAACTCACCCACACATATGCCAGCTGAAACACACAGAGATTTCAACTGCTAATACTATGCAATTTTAAAATGTTAGTTTCTACAACTGCCTGCATAGTAACACCACATTCTGCTGGTACTCCAGGGAGCTTGTCTGCAAACAGGACATACACACCCAAAAAAAAAGCCAATGTTTGTATTGTGGAACTACCTCTCAAACCGTGACACAGTGTAAAGCCTCACCTCTGGATGGATAACCAATACCGTGTTCTGTAGTAGCAGTTCAACAGTGCTACTGCCAAAACTCAGACCTCAAAGTAAGTTAGCTCATTTGAATAGTTTGCCATTCTTCTTTACCACTGCAGATGCTGTTCTCCAACACCACTACCACACTGTGGTTTCAAACACAAACTTGGTAACTTTTATCTTGGAGCCCACAACAGCAGTAAAACACATCAGCCAGGTGCCTGTATGAGCCAAACATGCCCCCATTTTTCATCTCAGAGAACGGCTTCCAGTACAATGGTCATGAGCACTGGTTCACAACAAGAGCATAAACTCTTTAATACTCCATTTTTTTCTCCCCACTTTGCAGTCACAGACCTAAATCCTTCCCAATTTCCAACTGGGGAAGGGAGAGAGCTTTCACAAAACGCAGCTTCTAACCACTGTGCTAATGGCCTTGCTGTGCAAGGGTACACACGCACACTGCAAGCAGCACACAAGACTGAAGCAATCTTCCTTTCCAACCTTGAAAAATGCTGAATCATCTTATGGTTACATGCTTTCACATCTAGGCACAAAATGCAACAGTCAGGATGTACATGCTGCTTTTTAAGCAGACAGTAACAGAGAGCTGCTTGAAAAGAATTTACATACTATTGTCTTAAAAACAGGTTAACCCAGATCTTTGGTTTCACTCTGTGAGGTTGCCATTAACTGTCCTCAGCTTGCCTGGATTTTGGGCAGACTGCAGTTACACACAAATATCCTCCACGTGGCCACCACAAAAAATGTAGTGCCAAGAATCTAGCAGTTACAGAATCTTACCCATTTCTACTTGACTTGAAAGCAGGTTTCTAAGCACCAGCCTGCTCCCCACAGCATCCCAATTTTCCCGATTTGTTCAAAAGTAACCAAGCAGCAAATAATTTTCCTACGACAGAGTAAGTCACCAGTTCGAACAAGCCTTTCACATGAAATTCATCATACACTGGCACTGAGATTAGGAAAAGGAGCCAGTTTAAGGTCCATGACAGAACAAACAGCAGGTTAAAAAAATATGGAGTATTTCAGAGAATGCAACCTCATTTCCAAACCAGGCAGAAATTAAGCATATCACAGCTGTGATGCAAGAGCACCCACAGTGGCATTGTATTTCATCTGCCAGAAGACTGCTCATATGCATTAATTTGGAGCAACACAGCAGTGGCTGGGTGCTAACATGACATCACTTCTTATTTATAACTCTTAATATCCCAGAGGAAAAGATAAGAACACAGAAGACAGAGGAGACATATCAGGATGTTGGAGTTTGGGTAGTGGCCCACCTAAAAGTAGTGGCTTTCATACCCTGGGCAAATTAACAATAAAAAGAGGGCAAAAAAAAGAGGAGCAGGAAGGAGAGGGATTGGGAACCCCAACACAGACACCTAGGAATTACAGCCCTTGAAAAACTTGGTTTTACCTTCAGATAAAACCTGAGAAGGGAGCCTAGCACACATTTCCCATTTCTGAGACTTGGAAAATACAGTAAGAAGAATCCAAATATTTAGGTAAGCCGAGTCTCAGGAAAGTGTGCAGAAAAATACTGTGATACTGTGGCAATGTGCCCAATTCTGAACCTGCAACAACCTCCTTACTGAGTGAATAAACCTTCACAAAGAACTAGAGTTCATCACACGGCTTCTATGATACCATAATCATCAGCATAAGCCAATAAACGCCTGCATCTACCAACTGAGGTTTCAATTCCATTTCAACTAAAACTCTCTTGTTAATTTCAAATGGTACAAAGACCTATTACACAACAGACTTGCACTTAACCAGAAGCTGGCAGTAAGTTAGAGAAGACGGTTTATAATTGAAGGATTACTTTGGAATTGCTTTCAAGTCCCCAAAGCAGATACCCCGAGTCCTTTGGTAAGCAATACCTCTACCCCACAGCACACAGATCTGGACTTGCCATGTAGTAACTTTGCAGTAATTCACTCTGGGACTCAGAACTGCACAGACAGCAGCAACCAGCACTGATACAGCAGTTTGGAAAAAGCTGAATGCATCCAACAACAGACTCCTCGACCCTGAACAAAGAGATTACACACCTTTAGCTCTTCCAATACCTATGCAGTTCTAGCTTGTGGTGTTAAGAGCCTGCCCTATCTTACAGATTTCCTTTACTGCGTCATTTGAATCTGAAGGAGGACAAACACAGCCTTTTGAGTCAGCTGCAGCAAGCTAAATCAACAGTTTCTTATCAGTTCTGTACCAAACATGCTTCCACAACAGGAACACAATACAGCCAATCTAAGAATGACTTCTTTGCCTCTGAAGAATTACCAAAGATTTTCACCCACCTCCTTCTCCTGATCTAAAATTCTGACCCACCCGCTACTGCCAGTGAATAAAGTTTTCATTTAAACACTCAGATTTAAGTTTATTCGTACACAGCAGAAGTTCCACCTGCATATTAAAAACAAACAGATTAGAAGTAAATGTTTTATTCTTCCAACTAAATTCCAGTACTACAAGGGCAGTAAAACAATGATACACTGAAAAATTGCAGCAATAAACATTTGTTAAAGACTGATAGAATAAATAAAAACTACAAAAATGAGAAATCATATAAACCCATTCTTAACCCCCAAAAAAGTCATGGAATACAGAAATGCCCTCCTTCACTATTTCACAGGCAGTACTGTGGGCTATTTGCTTAAAATTGTCCTGGGATTACATTCTAACTTAACTGTGATTACAGCTTTGTTGTAGTGCACAGTTATGAAAATCACACTAACTTCAGTCAGAAGTGTCATTCTACAATTTTATTTACACAACCAGTGAAGGGCAACTTCTAGAACACCAGCTTTAATCCTTTAACTTTTTCAAACTTAACATAAGAAGCCAAATTGTAATGATACAGCAAATGAGGCCACTGGTATTATTACAGGTAGCAAAGGTCCACATCCAGGTGGTACTGACATCAGGGAGCACTCCAAAACCAGTTGCTGCATAAGAGTGGTTGCCACTGACAAAAGCTTGAAATAACCTGTGTTCACAGGGGGAAAAAATATGGCATTGCTGCAAGTCTTTACTGGGACAGCTTGCAACAATAAAACGGGGTGTATAGGGCAGCCCACATATGCAGAAAGTGTGATTCATGAAACATCTGGAAAGAGAAAAAAAAGCAAGAGTTAATAGTGGAGTTAATACATGCCAGCTCTGTCACAAATCTGCCATGGATACATCAAACCCCGCTTCAGAAATACAATACCAGCGTGTTACGGGAGACAGTCCCAGATTTTTAAAACAAAAGTGGCATTTTATCCCATGTCTTCCTTTCGACCTTGGTCGGCCTTTCTTATTCCCAATTTAAGATACTTTAACTTGGGGCCTAGCTGTAGCTTAACAACAAAGTCTGGCCATTTCAATTCCTGAACATTCACTAATGTAATGGTGCAAGAGGAACCCAAAGGAACCAATACTCACAACTGGCAGGCTGTTCTCCATATCGTCGCATGATTTGATCATGCGTGAACTTCACAAATGCGTCGTATTGTTCTGCAAGCACGAAGCAGAAATGTGAGTACATTAACTGAGGCTGGAACATACTTTTTTATATATACAAGTTAAACACACATCCACTAACAGTAGTTTTAAGTGACTTCACACAGTTCATACCTTTTCATCCCCAGAACAACAAGGCAGCAATGTCCAAAATCCCCATTCCTGACCACCCCCAAAACAACATCCCCCTAATTAAGAAACTTTCCCATATAAACATCTGTAATGGGAATGATGGTAATATGCTCAAGGAGAACTGTGCTGCACACACACACAGACCTCAACATACCTAATGCCTGCTAAGCATCAGACACGGTATTTTGAAGTAATCAAATGTAATCATTTCACAGATCCATAATGGGGGCAAAATAGTTAAGCAAACATAGTATTAAAGTCAGTGCTAGGGTTGGAAACACAACCTCTGCTTTTACCAGTACCAGACGCAAGAAAGTCTGTTTAATGAAATGGAAACACAGAAGTAGAGGAAAGGCACTTGCTATGGAATTAGGAAATTCTTTTTGTTGACCACCAGAAAATCAAACACAAGTAACAAACTAAAAGAATGAAACACCAAGTGACTAGCACTTGATTAACTCCAATCACAGAAGTAGCCACAATAGAGACATGTAGTTGACTGTGGACTTCATGAAAACAACTACTGTGCAATCCAAAATGAAATTTAGATTCAAATGTATCAATCTGGCTTTGAACTAAGTATTTCTATTTTCCTGAAAGATTATTCTTTTTATGCACATACACACAAATACATTTGCAATATTTTATTCAATTTAATATTGCACTCATCAGCAGGATATCACCTTTCAGAGTTAGGAAATTGAACAAGGAGAGTAATATCTACCAGATGCTGCTCCTCTCCATTGCCCTTCCTCCCTTGTGGAAAAATACATGTGCAGCAATGTGGGGTGTTCTGAGAAAGGGGCAAGGTCAAAGAAGGCAATCTTCAACCAAAAATGCAGTTAGATTTGTAGTGGTTCCTAGTCCCACAGGTTTGCCCCATTAAAGTCCCCATCCTCTTGCAGGGATGAGCTTCACCTTTGAAGTAAACAGGGTATCAGTAATCAGCAAGTAGTTCAGCAGCAGCCCGAAGTTCGGATCTGACCCCAAGACCTAAGGACATCCATCCCTGGCCAAAGGGGCCCAGAGCCATGGCAGAAGTTCCCCTCTGCCCAACAAGCAGGACCTCTGTTCACTGCAGTTCTGACTGATGGCTTTTCAGCAGCCATGCGAGGATCTTAGCCAAACAACAAAATAGCACAAAGAGCAGATTGAAGGATCTGTTGCCCAGAAACCACTTCCAAAAATAACAGAAACTAGAACTTTTCCTCAAAGTATGTATTAAAGGCCAGAAACCAACTTGCAAGCTTTCTTCTTTAAAGGTTTAAGTCAACATACACAGCTGCTTTTTAGTATCATCTTTGTTAAAAACTGTGACTTTGGAAATTTAAAGAATCCAGTGTTACTAAAAATCCCTTTTCTTGTGGCATTCAGATTCAGAAAGTTAAGCAACCCAAAGGTCTGAGCAACCTACAGTGAGCTGTTTGATAATTTAAGTGAATACTTACAGACACTTACACCACTGGCATCCTGTATCATGTATGTTCTAACTATCTGTTTTCAATCAGAAGGTGGCCGAACAACATGAGTACAAACATGATTACTATGTGACCTGACCTTTCGTATAAAAAGCTGGTTTCCACAACCGGATTCTAAAAAACCTTTCAAGTGAAAACTTCACTTAGTCCCTTGAACTCCTCTGGTTTTAAAACCTGCGCAGGATCTTGCAAACCCAAGTTTATTCTAACACAGCAGTTTCAGGTAACAGGCAGGAAGGGAAATCAAGGCATTAGCATGATCTGAGTTTTCCGTTTATCAAACACTCACTCTGTGTGAAAGACAACTCCGCTCACAAAGAATATGGGAGAAGAAAAACAAAAAAATTAAGCAGCATCTATCTGGTTACCTACCTACAAGAACATCATGATTCAGAAAGGAATCAGGAAAATATCCCAGATCCAAACATTCAGTTAAGTCATTCAAAAGAAGCTATTAAATTGAGATTTATTACAGAATTCCCAGTTTCCACTGACTTCACTAGATTGTAAGAATGAGTATTACCTTACAGTACAAAGTTTAGAAAAGGGTATAATCATCTGTCGGCAGAAAAATATAACTGGCCTTCTATGTAAGGAATTTCTAAAGTCTTTTAGCAGTCTCTAAAATCTCCATATAATACTGAAAATGTAATACTGGCTTGATATATGGGATGCAGTAACATGATCTTTCTCACTCTTTTGATGACCACCATCCTAAGAACAAGAACCTAACCCATCTCACTGTAAAGCACACACTCCCCTTCAAAAAAAAAAAGGGGGGGGGGGGAAGAGAATGTTCCCTTTGGGACTAACAGATGGAGCACACATAAGGAACCTGCCAGAGAGTTTCCTGCTTGTAAAGAACTACAAGTTTGTTCTCAGAAAGTGTCTGGAACAAATGTAAATATATCTGGTCTTCAAATGGTTACTGTGATCACTGCTAACTGAAATGCATTTAAGAGAATGCAAGAAGTGACCCAGTTCCTAACATATACAAATTAGAAGAATAACACTCTAAAGGGTCATAATTCATCAGTCTGAAGCAGGTTATAAGCACAGAAATGGAGTGTTTGATCCAAAGCAACAGAAGTATTTAGAGCTCTAGCTCCAATTGTAAACAGATGTAGATTTAAGAGGGACTCGGAACTGTAGCTGTTTCTTACATAGCAATGGCAGGACAGCAATACAGAACGTGAATACAGGCTCAGCTGCAGAGACCACACTGTCAAAGGCAAGCCACAAAGGTGACTCAAGTCTGCTGACACTCTGCATGGCCACACCACACTACTCCTACCACACCAGAAGATATCTGCAAACTTTAATTCTCTGTGTTTTGAGGTGGGAGGCAGAACAGCTGTGGGGAGTCAAACACAGGTTTGCTGCCCCAAAAGTGCACTCAGATGTCTCTTATAATCACCATAAATATTAAATTAGACACTGAATCATACTGTGAAGGCATGTACCTCTGAATGCACCACAATTTAGATGCTCAAATACTAGCAAAGGGCTTATAAAGTAGAGGACTTCAAGTAAAGAAAGGTCCTATTTATAATGCTGACATTAACATGATCCTTATGGGAAAGTTGGCATCAGGCACCAAAAACATGAGCTAAATGGTGCGAAATACAACAATTCAATAAAGAGCATCAGCTGAACGACTGACACTCGGGCAGATACCAAACACTGTTGGCAGCAATGTAATGGCAAGTACTGGGAAGAGAAAGGGAAATCTTAGGTACTGTCATCTTGCCAAATTCCAGAAAAAGGAAGTCAGTTCCTAAGCAGGAAGAAAAAAAAAAAAAAACAAACAAAACCCTTCACAAAGGTCCCTTAAGCCAGTAGAAGAGAAAGACTTTCTAGCAAACAAAACAAAATCAAACCACTAAAAACAAAAAAAAAGGAGGAAATCATCAATTCAGACATCATAGCAAGAAAAATTTCCATGTGAAATAAATCCACTGTTTCAACTGATTAGTAATACCCAGCAGTCAGTTTCTACCCAAGCCAGCATAGAAGAAAAAAGCCTATCAAAGAGTCTATACACCATTTTTTCTGTCCTGTATGCAATCTTGATCATGTTAGGTCAGAAAAAAAGTACAGCGTAACAAACATAATGAAAATCTTTAAGCTTTCAAACTCATCCTAACACATTATTTTGAGCTATAATATACCTGCAAGTTTTGTGGTCAAAATTTCTTCATACTCTTCACGGATTTTCTCTTCACGTTCTTTCAGCAAGCGTTCACAGATCATTCCAACTTGTCTGAGAGTAAACAGGGGCTGTTCTTTTTTCAATGGTGATGAGGCTGCAGATGAAGTACCTAAGATTAAATATTCAGGCACACAAATTTACACTTGAAACTAGTTCAGAACCACTTTAAAATCAATTTTCTTTGCAACTTTGACATCAGGAGCTTTACAAAGAATTTGGAGAAGTCTTTACAATTTGAACGCTTCTAATTACTATTAGAATTGGACCCTCAAAAGGAAGAAGACTACAATGGGCAATATGCACAGGCATCTTACACAAACACTGTGAATGCCATTTACAAATTTAAGCTTCTATTTCATGTAAAACTGTCAGTACAGTGCATCTGTGCAAAACCAGATGCTTTGCAAAAGCTTATTACAGTATCAGTGGCAGGGTATGCAGGACGATCTCTTGAAAATAATGCAAGCTTTGTGTCCTACTGGTTCTTAAAACAAGAAGCTACAATCCTCCACATCCATGCTAATACTGCCAAAAAAATCAACAGTAACTCGCGAGAATGTGCCATGAAACACCAGATAACTGGGGAAAATTATTTACTCAAGCAGGAGTCTAACAGCATATAGCAGAATTACACAGCATTCATTGCCAAAAAAAGCAACAGTAACTGGAAAGAAGGTCCTATAAAGATAACTAGGAAAAATCATTTACATAACAGAGTCTAAAAAGACAAAGCAGAATTACACAGAATTTTCCAGGTACCTGGCAAAGCTGGTCCAGTAAGGAGAAATGCATGTGGCTGTGCATCAGTAGAACCACAAGGATCTGTCTGCTGGAAGCTATTTTCTAAGTGTCTCCTCTTCTGCATGCGTTTGTACTCCTGTTTTATGTTGTACAGAATTTGTTCTAGAAAGAAAAACAACATAAAAAATAAGTCTAAAATAATTAACAATCCAAGGTTTTACTTGACTTGGTTTCCAGTCAAGCACCAAACACTGCAGGTAATTAACTGATGATAGAGTCTTTAAACATGGCCTGCAAAACCCACCATGTTTTACCCAAGACACAAAGAATGACTAACTGAAAGTAACTCCAGACTGTTTGCACCAGAACACTAACAAAAATGTTGTTAGTTAAGGTCAGGTATCAGTGCCAGAGTGCTGCTAACAAAAGTAAACAGCATAAGGTTAAAATTTAGGAGCTATCAGTAATACAATATACATGGATAAAAAAATATTCTGTAAAACTTCTACTGGTATTTATGATCTTCCCTTCATGCATTTAATTTGCAGTCATCTTTCTCCCCCAGACAGCATTTATCATTCATACTGTTATGGGTAACAAAAGACTCCAGAATAAAATACATACATGAAGTACCATGCACAAAGCAACTACTGGTTAAAATCTCAAAAAATGGCAAACCCACAGGGAAAATACAAAAGCATTCCACAACACTTCTGACAACCTCAGATCTATCCAAATAAAGACAACGGATGGATCAATAACCTCTTTTAAAGGAGTATAGCAATATGTAGCTCAGCATTTGATCACACTGAATAAAATACAGCAAGTGTTTTTAATAATCTCATTTTCACTGTAGAATTACAAGAGAGGGGTAATCCTTGCAGTAAAATTATTAATCCTGTGTGCCTTTTCTGAAAAATTTCTTACAGAATCAGCTTCCAAACTCTTGGCAAAGAGAGCTTTCCGAAACTCAGGTACATATAAATCTACGTGATTATGCGAGAGCTGCAAAGTACTCCACTCAGTACCTTTCTATTTCTGTTCAGCATTTTGCCAACACAATACTGTGAAAAATTCTCAACTAGTTTTCAGGTTTGTTAACAGTATGCTATTAAGCTTCCTTATTTGAACATTTTCTAGGAAGCAACCATGTGATGTGAACAAGTAACTTTAGCTACCAGCTTGGTCAGTCAGTGAAGGAATCCTATGGTAGGCCAAGCAGAAGCAAACATTCACCAATTTCTATTTCAGAGGTTTAGCTGTTGTGGTGGTTCAACTCTGTAAGTTAGTCCAGGAGCAGCCAGTAGATAAAAGAAGAGGAAACTGTTTCCACAGTCAACAGGAATACCAGGTTTTGTCAGTGAAGGAGCTTCTTCCTTGGATTTTGTTCTCTGATTGAAGCCTTACAGTTTATACCTTTTCAGTCCCATGCCTACAGCGCTTGTACAATTTTCAGCTCCGTAAAGGGAGATCAGGGAGTTGGTTCAAAGCAGAAGCAAATGCAGAAGACACAATAAAGCAGCTCAGTAGAGAAATGAAGAGAAGGAAACCAGAAGGGGCGAAAAAAGCACTCAAGGATGCCTGGAGGATGCATACTTTTTGTAGGACAAGATACATACTATGCTCCAGTGTGGTAATAACAAATCAGGTTAAATGAAGATGCAGTCAGCCTTCCAAAATTTAACAGAACCCCGTGTAGAATTAGTCACATGCATACACACTGCAGCAGTGGGAGAATGGCCCTGCAATAGCTCTACTCAATGGCATTATGGTCATAAAACAATACTTTTCCTCAGAATCAAATGCGGTTCTAGCTAAAGCAATAGTGCATAATTTTGAGTGGGAACCGAATTAGCTCATAAGAGAATATCTGTCCTGAAGTGTCTACACTACGAGGAACATTCACACTGTATTTACGTCAACTGAAAAATGTAACAGACCATGTGCAACCTACACTATGACTACCTGGTCTTGGACATACTTTCCAAGTTCCATATGAACTGCAACAGCATCAGCCAAGTTTTGGGCACAACAACTTTGATAATAATCTTCTCTACAGCTCACCTATTATCTTCTTGCAGACACATTCTCAAACCACATTAACCACCAAAATAATTTAAAAAAAAAACAAACCCAAACAAAACCCATAAAAGACTCTTGTCTCTGGTCAATGGATAAAACTGCAAGAGTTAAAATAGCAATCATCAGCCAGGTTTCCTCCAGTCCTATCAACCCCTGTAAATTAAATATGGAGTAATTCAGAGACGATGTTAGAACAGCAGCCAGAATAGAAGGAGTGAGAGCAACTGGGGGGCGAGGGAAGAATATGGATAGAAAATTAAGATCTTTACACCAATGATACATGGTTCTAATCCCAATTATACTGAATGGTGAACACAGAAGTCTCAATGATATTGCAGTAATTTCTAATCTGCTTCTAATTTGACAACACTTTTAAACTTGCCATCTTCAAATCTTGCTCTGAAAATAAAAAAAAAATCTCAAGATACACCATTGGGAGTTCCCAGTCCTGAGAAAACCACTTTGACAGTCTGCATTGCTATAACTTCATGTAAAGAAGTAAAACTAAGCAAAGTGAAACAGAGCAGGGGACTGTTTAAATGTGACAATACACTGTTCACATTGCAAACAACCACTGGCAGAAAGAGAAAAGCATGAAGTCCTAACTGAACACACCTGCAGAACATGTACATAACTTGCTCTGGTAAACGGCATTCCTCTACTTAATCTAATTTATGAGATTTAATGTACTACTGCTCAGTACAGAGAACTGGAGTACAAGCTCTGCTCGGTTCTGTGCTGTTAGTAGGCAAGATGACTATGGAAATGACTCGCCTCGTACTTCCCAATTTCCACCACTGGTAAAATTGAGATTAATAATCAAGAAACACGAGTTTTATGTGGCACCAAACTGTTCAATAATTTCACACACGAATGATCAGACTAACAAACCCTCAAACTAAGCAGACACATTTTTGCAGCAGCAAAAACTGAACAGGCATTTTAATTAACATACAGTGGCATAAAATCTTTGACTTTAAAAAAAACTACTTCATTGTGAAGTGACATGTAAGCTTGCAAATATTCATGACTCATTTTAAATGAAAATCTGAATGTCAAATTGAATTACTTAGTCTTTTTTTTTTAAAAAAAAAACCACAATCTAGCAGAATAAGCTGTTTAAGTTCACCAAAGTTCTGGCATTTACAGTTTTGCTTAATAAATCCACAAAACTGTTTGATGAACAAACAAATTCTGTCCAAAACAATTTCTATAGCATCTCAGCACTTGAAAGAAACCATTAAATATTAAGGCAGCTCAAACCAGACAACTTTCGAACAATATTTATATGACAGACAGCTAACTGCAAAGCCCTTTAAACCTCTGGCCCAGTTAAACAAAGCTTAGCATTAGTAGATCTCATTCTCCAACCTAGTTTTAATTCTAGAAAACCTTCCTGCTTTTTCAAGTTCATTTTCTTAACCTTTCTTACTTCCAATTAGCTCTGACTATTAACTCGGCAGCTGACAACTGAATTAAAATGTGCATTTAACTGGTGTCAAACACAGGAGAGAGGTTTTTTGTGTGCTCCTCAACATCGAGGCCCAAATTGCCTTTTTCAACAATGACATCTCATAGGTGCTTAAGTTCAAATGAGACATTGTAGGCCAGGCAATAATTTAATTTATGAGATTACAAAAGGAATATATTTAATATGATAAAGCACGTACCACTGAGGCCTACCCTCAGTTTCTTTTTAATTTCACCTTAGCCTTTTTGCTCAGCTTTCCTTACTGGTTACGGATACCTTCACCTTAAGGTAGTAGCAAGAAAAAGCCACACTGCTAACACACTGAAATGAATTAGTGCTTCATAAACGATGTTTCAATTTCAGGATGATTATGAATCCCAGCCTGTTATGCAAGACTGTATTACATTGCCCTTTCTCCTCCTTCAAGTTCAAGGCTAAGATAAAGAATGGCAAACAAAGTCTGCTACTTTCTCACCATGACCACTAAAGGTGTAGAGGATTCAGTCAATTACACCTGAAAATAATGAAATACGCTGATACACTCTTTGTTTTATCTAGAGCACAATGAACTGAGAGCATAAAGTTGAGTACACAGGTTCATTAAAGATCACACTAGATGAAGGACAACATTCACACCAGTGCTCTAACAGAGTAAGAGATGTGACTTGGGGAAACAATGTTTCATGTCTCAGCTGCTTTAACTCCCAATGAGGAGAGAATAAAATGTGAAAGGGCAAATCAGAATATGATCTGTCACACTAATGGATTACAAAGCCAAATATTCATTTCCAAGGAGTGATGTTGTCTTCTTACTTCCTTTAATTCATGATAAAAGGCAAGTTGCTCTTTTTCAAAGTTCTGTCATCTAATTACTTCATCTTGACCTGTAATTACCTAGAAATTACGTAGAAGAGAAACAGCAGTTCAACTTGAAAATGTAACAAGACAAACAATTTTCTTCCCCAGTTTAATAACTGCTTATCAACTACGAAAGTGCTGACTGTTTCCCCTGAAGGATTTTTTTCTTTTGCCTTGATTTTTAAACCAGCAATCTCTCATCTTAGTTCCTGGCTTCTCTCTCTTAGCTGAAGGAAACTTTGGCAAAATACATAGGAAGGTGACTCAATAGGCTGAAATCAGAGCAGCAGTTTTCCTGGCCTGAAATGGAACCTAAAGCTCAGGTTTCAGTCTGCAATGTCACCATTCAACATATGCATTCAAACTTGAACCATGCCTGAGATTTCTTCTAAGTGAATCAAGCAAATGCTACCCTGACATCAATCACATACATTTTCTGGGACTTCAGCTCATGTCAAATGCAAAACTGTTTCACTGTCCTAGTTCAAATTTGTAACTTTTCCATTAGACCATCACACTTACTCAACATCTAGTTGATGCTACCACATTCCTAGTTTTGGTCTTCCCACCAGACTACTGACAATGTTAATTTTAAGCAGGTAGCTTTCACTAAGGGCAGCACTGCAACACGGCAATTCTTCAATTTTTCTATCTACCTAACCAGGGTATCCATCTACTTAACCAGGGTATCCACAGGCACAGACAGAAATTAAAATAATCCAGATACTCCTTTTATTCTCCTGCTTTGGTC